AAACACATTTCATTACACCAAATACACAAAATAATGTTCTTTTTAGCAGCATCATATGACCCCTTTAAGTTACTTTCATCACAAATGTAAAATTCAAAACAGATTATAATAATTTATAACATGCAAGCATTTGTAAAGCTATTTGTAGTCCAAATCTGGAAGAGGATTAGCATTGGCAAGATATGCGTTTCCTTGGGCATTTTATTTATTTATTTTAGGCAATTTATTAGTAAACTAATGGACCTTTTTCACATTTCCGGGTTTCTCCGCAGCGGAAGTCATCATAGTTGGGTTAACTTGAATAGCAGTGAATGGGAGAGTACCACAAATATATTTTTTGCATTCCCATTTGCTCAAATAGCAAAAGAAAAACTCCACGATAGTGTTTTCATGACTTTCAATAAAAGGAAAAAAATTGAGAGAGACTGATAAAAGCTGTCAGAAGAGAGAACGATGCCAAATTTACCGTCCCTCCCACAGATGCTGCATTAGAAACACCCTCGCATTAGCGTTAACTGTTTTTGTGTAATTTGATGCAAAGGTGATATAATACAAAGAATAGTGTTATAAATGTAGAAACATTGAAAAAAAAAATGCAAATATGAAAAACTTTCGAGGATTTACGATGCTGATGACCGTTAATCACAGTCTTGTGAAAAGGGTCCATGGTTGACATTACATTACAACAGATAAAATACAATCATGCCTCAAACATGATTTTCATAGCTGTCTTTTTTTATGTAGGTTGCTAAGAAGGCAGTAACTAAATTGCCAAAAGGATGCTTATAGTCCTTATTCAGTAACTTGTTACCAACTCAGAGAAATAGAGATGTGTAAATGTATTATCCATGCAGTTTACCGCAGTAGTGTAATCCTTATAGTTTGTGGCCTAGAAACCTGTGGATTTGCAGGTTTGCATGCGACATTTGCAAAGGCTTTGTTCCACTGCACCAGTCCTTCCTGCAGATAAAGCCGAAACACTGTGCACACGAGGCTGTTTTCCATATTTGGAGTCCACGCATCTGTACCAACTGCAGAACCAGTAATGTGACCTAAAATAAGAATTTGAAAAAAAATGACAGTTCATAGACAATTCTCTGTCTGTTTACTAAAAAAATTAAACAAAAAATAAACAACTTTGCATGCATCATAGAGACACTACAAAACGATTATATGAATATAACATATAATTTCCTTAAGAGTGTGACTGAGATTTTGTTAATCTAATCTCAGGTGGTGATATAATTTGAAAACCTTGACTGCATTCTTCTTAAAATCTTAGAATTATGATAATGTCAAGAATGTTCTATTGGTCTTTCAGTGTTTGATGTGTATGGAAGCACATTCCCTCTCCTTCCCTGTCCTTCTTATTTTCCTTTTTGTAGGGTCTGTACCAATTATGATTTGAGCTGCTTTGGTGTAAATATTTGGTCAAAAACATACCTTTGACTCTTCTGAATTTGTCATAGATAACATAAACATGAGAATGACGGTTATTATTTTACTTTACAACAAAATTATAGATTCAAATTAGAAATAATAGTTTACAAATACTATAATCGATCCAATAACAAAAAGATGTGAAAACACTGGTAATTAAATGAATGAAGTCTCAGAAATATCAAACTTACACTTTTTATTAGGTCATGTATGTTTTTGTTTCCAAAGACAATACTTGATATGCAGACAAATGGTCAAGAATGTGTAATGTGGCGGTTAGATAAATAAAATGGTTGACAAATAATATGGCATCCAGTCGCATTTAACGTTAAGTTACATATTTAAGTCCTTGAGTTTAGCAATACACAAGGAGTTGGCACTACAACCGCGCAAATCTATAGCATAATGTTGTTGTTTTTTTAAAAACTGACTTTTAACTGAAATCTGACTCTTGTTTACGATCGGACACGTGACGCACACTGTAACGTACTCGAAAAATAGAAAGGTAGATTTCCTGACAGAAGAATAGCGTTTGTCCTGGCCTAAATTATGAAGCAACATACGATAACATTTAGTAACACCAGATTTTTGTGGTAACTTAACTTAGGTGTAAATTAAAATATGTGTTTTAATTCTTGTTTTCGCTCTGTGTTTTCAGGTAACTTACAAACGGCCAAAGAAAACGACGCAAATTTGGCACCCAAACTATGCGAAAACAACACATATTAATGGTAAGTCCATTTCAATTATTTTATACGTTAGTATTTATTCTGTACAATTAATTTGGATTTAATTATTGTCGATATATGTTGGTTTGACTCGAAAGGAACGAAGATTCAGAGTTATCATTACCGATGCTAACACATTAACAACTCTCAGATTAAATATGGTAAATTAAATCGTCTAAAGAAACATCAGGATGATAAATGCAATCACTGTGAATACTTACAACATTTTTGTTGCTCAGAAAAAGCCGTCTCTGGTACTATTACTTCTTTAAATTCGAGTTGAATGTGTAAATTCTGCTGTGAGCCAGAGCGAGCCGCTCTAGTGTGAGACTGCCAGTGCAATGCTGCCATCCAGCGGCGGACCTGCGTACTGCAGGCTTTTTTGCACTAGATACAGTACAAAAGACAGTAAATATTACAGTAAATTATTATATAATAATTAATAAAAATGAGGAACGCTTCACGAATTTGCGTGTCATCAAAAATTAAACAAAGTTGGTCAGCATTTGTGTGTGACAATTGCATGCGTTATTAATTGGCATTGTACACGTTTAAGGCCAAATATTAAGATAGAAGAATGCAAGTAGATTACCTGCCTTACAAGCTCCCTCACTTTGCCGACAGTTCCTTGGCTTGATGAGCCTGAAGCACCGCTACAGCCTCTTCAACCTAAACAGTGCAGAAAAGTGCAATGATCAAACAAAATCTGATATTTGAGAGTTGGTCAGCATTTGTGTGTGACAATTGCATGTGTTATTAATTGGCATTGTACACGTTTAAGGCCAAATATTAAGACAGAAGAATGCAAGTAGATTACCTGCCTTACAAGCTCCCTCTCACTTTGCCGACAGTTCCTTGGCTTGATGAGCCTGAAGCACCGCTACAGCCTCTTCGACCTAAACCGTGCAGAAAAGGGCAGCGATCAAACAAAATCTGATCTTTGAAACTAAATGTCGAGTACATGTTTTGAGCAGGTGAACCTTGGAGTGCAGGGACTCTGGAGACTCGAGCATGTGCAGTAGTTCAGAGTTGTCAATCTCCAGCAGCATGCCTGTAATCTTTCCCGCAAGAGTCGGATGCAAGGCCTGGATAAGTGGATACAGCCGCTCACCTGTATAGGATGCAAACAGTTCGGTCATTTTACTCATGTTACGAAGTAGAACATAGATTGTGTGCTATATTCCAAGCCTTCTGAAGCCATATGATAACTATATGCTGCTTTACACTAAATAGACACTGTAAAGTGTCGGCACTACACCCTCTACTGAAGAGTATTGTTAATTTAGGTTACCATCACTGGTTTAAGAAGCAGGTGGTATAACATGATTGAAACTGCTCACAACTTTAACTTTTAAGTGACCGTGTGTGTGCATTCCATACCCAGGAGTTGTTTCTGCTCTTTTAAGGGTGCAGCTGCCAGCATTGAGGCAGTAAGGGGCTCCTGGCCTCTCACATGAACCGCCGGCTCTGTATTCTGTACTACCTAAAAAACAGTAAAAGAAAGACTGTTATATTTCTCTATTTAAATGCTCTTAAGTGTCATCACATTGCCATGGTCTGAAACTAGTGCATGAAGTTGTCATTAGTTTTTGTGGCTTTTCTGTTGATAAAAGATTGATAAAACTAACATTTAGGATTAGTATGAAAGCAGTTTTACAAAAACAATAAACTGCCTCATAAATTATACAATTGAGTATAATTTTAGACTTATACAAATACAATTATATTTTAATATTTGAGGCTATTTATTCAGACCATTCAAGTAAAATATAATAACATTTTCTGATTTTAATCACATTATATTCTGACAGCAGCCTGCAGCTCACTTCTTAAGCAGCACATGGCTACTTAATATGCATCTGTCATGCCCCAGTAGCACATGGCTACCTAACTTATTATGCACCCTTCTAGACCCGCCTTCTAGACCCGCCTACTGAATTGTTCTAATTTTGGTGATTTCTTTATTTTTAGCAGCATGAGCACCTTACAACCCCACAGGTGGCCCCGTTGGAGTTTTGAGGTCACCACCATGAAGTTCAAGGTCATGGAATGACCCCAGGTGTGCCAGGGGCCACAGGGGGGCTACAGAGAAGATCCGTCAGGTTCCTTTGCGCAGGGGCCATGCTAATCTTCTCTGTATCGTTCCAATTTTAGTATATGTGCTGCCGAAGCAAGCACGAACAGAGAGCACCGAGGAGAGCTAGATATACCACTGACTCCCAGATATGTTTCTCATAGGTGGTAAGTGGATAAATCACTTTTTCTGTTGACTTGTATCAAATGTGACTGTAAATCATGCTGACTGAAACCTGTAAACCTTTAAAACTAGGACATTTTCAAACCAGCAATTTTGTGTAGGTTTAATCTAACATTTTCTGAGCTGTAGATCATATGCAACTGTGGCTCTCCCTCTTCTAGGTGTGATTGGACTGCTCGGTATGACGCAGAGGAGCTCTTGGTCTCACGTCACGAACCCTCCCCCACAGACAGCACACAACCTCCCCCTCGGGCAAAGAGCGGCCCCCTTCCTCACAGAAGAGCATTAAAGACTGAAAGACCTCGAAACTCTCCTTTCAGAACAACAGAGGCCGTGAAAACACTGAGAACACCAAAACTCAAAAGGTTTAACTCAGAACACCCACTAGAAACATTCAATGTGAGGTCAAGATCAATATCTGCCTCTAGTCCAAAGTCATGTGCAATTTAAAATCCTCATGTATAATATAGTTGCAAAATATTATTTGAAGCTTTAAAAAGCATTTTTAAAAATCTGTTACGATTTATATCTTATCTATATATTTTTCTAATATATTTCCAATAATTTGTCCTTTTTTTAAAACGATTTTTATCTGCAAAGCTGAATGTAGCCAGTTGTTTAGCCTGTAGCTTTTATAAATAAAGCCATCAGCATGATGCCAGTGATAGTTAGGTCAAGGTGGAGAAAGTACAGGTTGTGTAGAATATGACGAATATGACCAATAATGAGCAACAAGCCCATCAATCCCTGTCCAAACTTATTTGAAAATGTAAGGGGCCCAGAGCAATATAAACTCAGGGTGACCTGAGAGTGAATAAATCCCCTCAAAATGAAGCATTTAAGAGAGATAGTCTCTCCAATATTAAAAAAAAATGTCAGGCACTGAAAAAAAACATCTATTTAAAATAAATGCTATTCCTGCTATTTCTATTCATGAAAGAATGGAGTAATGGCTGCTGAAAATTCAGCTTTGCCATCACAGGGATAAATAACATTTAAAAAAATATATATTTAAAAAGAAAGCAGTTATTTTAAAACGAAATAATGGTCAAATATAATAATATTTCACAATATTCTGTTTTTATACAGTTTTTAATGTATTTTTGATAAAATAATTGCAGCCTTAGTATATATATATACATATATATATATATATATATATATATACACTGTATATATGACACTCAAAAGACACTCACTTGTCGCCATCTAGTGGCGTAATTATGTTTCCCCAGTTTTGCCATCGCAGGAATAAATTACGCTTTAAAGGGTTAGTTCACCCAAACATTTAAATTAGCCCATAAATTACTCACCCCCGATGCATCCTAAGTGTATATGACTTTCTTCTTTCAGATGAATCCAGTCGGAGTTATATTAAAAATTGTCTTTGATCTTCC